TTCCTGCTGGCACTTGCTGGGGAATGATGCTCTGTACAGCCAGGAGCAGAGAGCTTTGAAAAGCAGGGACGTGTGCCCCTGGCACCGTTTTGCCAAGTGCTTTGGCATCATACAGGGCATGAATGCACCGGGTCTGGATCTGGTTGTTTGCCAAGTCCTTTGCTCTGCTGGTCCTCTCTGGATCTGCATGTCACATCCCCGTTGTGGGGACCACGGCCTCCCTCGAGTCATTTCTCTGACTGTGTCACCTCCCCCAGCTCAGCTGCTTCTTACCTCTGAAGAGCACAAACCTGCTGGGAAGAGGAGGGGGTCCCCCCCATCCCAGGGGATGCTGCTGGCCTGGGGACCACGCAAGGCTTTGGGCATCTCAGTGCCTGGCCGTGCTAGCCCCGGGACACGGTGCAGGACTTTCCCATTGCAGGTGTGGGGTCCCTGCTGGCCCGATTCCAGCTCTCAGAGGGGCCCAGCACCCCGGCCCCCCTGGCCGTGCAGTTCACCAGCGAGGGGAGCACCCTGTCCAGCTGCGACATCGAGCTCGTGGGTGCCGGCTACCGCTTCTCCCTCATCAAGAAGAGGTTTGCAGCAGGTAGGTTCCTCACTGGTAGGGGTGGCAGTGTCCCTGGTGGTCCCCTCCAGCCATGCTGGCATGCCTGGCACTCTTTGTTGAGTGGTCAAGCCCAGAGGTCCCACCACAGAGTGGTGGCTGAGGGGCAAAAGCTCCTTGCGTGAAAGAAATCCTGGCACAGCTCGTCAGAGCCTGGAGTTTCATGGGCGCTTTCCTGCTCGTGGCTCCTGCACAAAAGGCAAGGGCTGGAGGTCTCCAGGAAGAGCTTCAGCTCCCTTGCTGCAGAGAAATACCAGGATTTGCCCCTGTGCCCCTCGTGGGTGTGGGGTCGGGGGAGGTGGGGAGCCAGCCCCTGGGAATTGGGGCTGCTCCATCCCCTGGGAATCAGGGCTGCACCATTCCCTGGGAATCGGGGCTGCTCCATTCCCTGGGAATCAGGGCTGCACCATTCCCTGGGAATCGGGGCTGCTCCATTCCCTGGGAATCAGGGCTGCACCATTCCCTGGGAATCGGGGCTGCTCCATCCCCTGGGAATCAGGGCTGCTCCATCCCCTGGGAATCGGGGCTGC